GTTCTCGATATATGACTATAATTGTTTTTGTATCAAAACAGTGATATTCACTTATATGTAACTAGAATGTAGAATTATTTTGCAGTGATAAATCATATTTGATAATTTCATGAATTGGATTTTTAATATTATTATTGACAAATATCCTGATGGGTTTCATATCCAATTAATCTGGCAACGTAAAAATCCGAAACCTGTTTCAACAATCGAATAACAAAATGAACACAAATCATTGTCAGCCATTACGGTTTTCAGCTACACCCATTTTCGCTACAACCAATATGATTATCATCTAATTCACTCGGCTGTCAATTATTCTCGACATTTCTGGATGCCTGGAAATGCATTTTAAATTTCATCACATTTTGGATCTATTCCCTTTGTTGGCATTAATCCAATATCGTATAATTACATGGAATTCTAGAATTCGGTCATTTCTAATTTGCATTTCATCAACATAATGCTATTACTGCCCCCTTGAAACAGAGTGTCAGTATAAATACGTATAGTATGGAATTCATTAACATAACAATTACCGATGAGTACCAATTGGATTGGAACAGAGGAACTATCTATTCTCATATCGATGGTATTGCAAATAAAAAGACAGAATATGCAAGTGGTCCTAGGATAACGAACCATTAATTCTACAGGGCGAATTAGATATCAAAATAGGCCGATTGAAGTCAACTTACCTCGATACGAAAATGCATCATTGATCCCTGAAAGGTCGTTAAAAGATCATTTTAGCTCCTAGAATTTCTTGAATATTTCAAAATCCTTCAATTTTACTGCTCTAAAATTCGTAGGGTAATCTACTATCGTGAAGAGAAGAAATATAGATATATTGAAAAAATTTCGAATTTTTACTTATCTTTGGACGTTTCGCGAACGAATCTGCTCCCGTTCTCAACATAAAAATGCAAAAATATTTATCTTCCAATTCAATCAATATACAGGCATTTCGATATTTCAACCAATGACAAAATCAATCATCACATTTTTTCTGACAGCAATTTTTTTATAATTGTTCTTGGTTTTCGAAATATCTAACATTGTTGATTTTGATGTTTCTCCATACTTGGATTTCTTTGCCAATGGATGTATTCCAAAAAAAAAATCCAACAACTACCTTATAGGAATGTTCTTTCGTGCGCTCCAAGAGATGAAAAACAATATCATGTTTTGCAGGTGGTTTCTACCTCATTTGTGTTGAGTTATTGACCACAATCATTATGATTTACTTCAGCATATGACATAGTTATTGGTCATCTTCAAATAAATTTTTTTCCTGGAAACAAGTTTTTGAGAGAAAAAACAATGAAATTTGGAATTTGGATTATGATGATGAGCTTACAAAATAGTGAACATGGATATTGTTGTAAATAACATAACACAAATGAGGTAGGAATTCGATATAATGAACCATTAAGTATAGAGAAGTATCAAAATGAATTTTATTGTTAGATATCTCGCCAGACCAAGTGATGTCACTGGTCACATGGTCTACAAGAAGTACAAATGGAATCTGCAACCAAATCATCGGACTTAATGCCAGCCAGGCTCAGTTTCGATCCTGCCTTTGAAGTGGTTATAAAAAGCCGTCCTAGGTACGGTTCCGCTGAGCCTCAGCTGGACATGGGGTCCTTTGTTTGGGTGTATAATCTCTGGTACACCGATGGATCGAAAATGGAAGGAGGGGTAGGCACGAGTGTATATGGACCCAGATGTAGGCTATTTGAAGCCTCAGGTCACTCCCCCACTATCTTCCAAGCTGAAATACATACCATCAACCTATGCGCCCAAAGGTGCAATTGCATCTGAGGGGTGTCATAATATATCTGCACAGACAGCCAAGCTGCACTGAAAGCTCTAAAATCATTCGATTCCACATCGAAGAGATTACATGGGACTGCTTTGAAACACTCATGCAATTGGGAGAGGAAAATAAAGTCATACTTATGTAGGTTCCAGGGCATGAAGGAATCAAAGGAAATGAGGCAGCTGATCGCCTTGCAAAGAAGGATGCAGCATCTGCACTCTTTGTTCCTGAGCCTTTCTGTGGGATAAGCAAATGACACCTAAAGGAAGAACTCAGGAAATGGGAAGGAATTGAAAAGTCCTCCTACTGGAGAGCAACGCCAGGTCAACGACAAGCGAAACGGTTCATCAACCATTCGCAGAACCGAGCCAAAGAGCTACTCAGCCTCAGCAAACCAGAGCTGAAGCTTATCAGGCTTTCTCACAGGACACTGCCCTCTGAGGTACCACCTCAAAAAGATGGACCTGGCGAGTGACACTTGCCGCTTCTGCAACAATTCGACCGAAACCGCGGAACATATACTTTGGTCATGTAAATTATTAGTTCGTCAATCGATCACCTAGAACAGGTCTATCTCACACCTGCTGAGGTGGAAAATTCGACTGTCAGGAACATTCTAGGTTTCATCAAAAGTCTAGGGTTAGAGGACTAAAACTAAATAAGGGTAATCACAATAGATCTTCTAGGTCGCAGTGATCGAGGGGTCTCCCAGCCTATCATCCTACAATCTAGATATCTCGCACCTAAGAAGAATTATAAAAAAGCTGTAGTTGAATGAAATAAGATCATTGATTTTGTCGTTCATTGGAATATAAATATATGGTCAATGGCATACTCCAAAAAAAGTTATATCGATTTTCATCAATGAGAAATATTTATCTCCCTATATATTTTGCTTGAATTGATATGACATGGTTTTCATGTACGTACATAAAAATTGCCCTACGAATTTCAAAACATTTCAAGGATTTTGGAATATTCAGGAGATTTTGTTGATGAAATTATTCTTCATCGCCATCTCACTGCTCAACGGTGCATGCGTATAGAGGTAATATAATTTCTATCTGTCTATTCCAGTGTCTAGTTCACCCTATAGGATTTACGATACTTTGTTCTGGGACACCTTGTGCATTCTTCCTCTTAAAGTTATACGGAAGTTGCTGTAGCAACTAATCAACTGTATATCCCCGCAGTACAGATATCCTCATCCCCAACTATTCACAACACCTCAGGGATGAAAAGAAAACAAAGCTGACACAACTAGATTTCTCCTACGGTTCAGCAAACTTGAGAAGCAGACAGAGTTCCCTGTCCCTTGGCAGCTTGAAATGTCACTCCTCGAGAACTCCCAGCCTGTCTTAATTCTTCGCAGTTTTGCCCCTTTTTAAATATGCGACTCGAGAGAGTAATGGCACTTCAGGCCGCTCCGGGAGAATGCCACAGTGGCTTCGTTACCATTGAACGTACGTTTGACGTACTATTTGTGAACGATAAACGTCTGAAATAACGAGAAAGAAATGTACGCAAGCAGGGCCATTTATTATTCATGGGAAAAGTGAGCATCAGAAGCGACAATGGGCGAGTGAACTGATAATGAATTATCGGCATTCAATAACTACTCAACTGTGTCGTTAGGAACCTAAAATTATTTCTGCAATACTTCTCACGCTTTATTTATGTGAATAATAACTCTATGCGTTGTTCAGAATTGTTGAATGTTTCATATTTGTTTCTATTTTGGAATGTAATCAATAGAAGGGTTATTATATAGGTTGCATAACTAACTCAGCACTCCAAAGGATGGATGCCGTTGAGTTTTGGGACATCCTATATTCACAAACTTGGCAAAGTATTTCACCAAATTCGAAGCCAAAGTACTTAATTGACACACAGTTTATTCACGAAACATTGTTATAACCAAACTTTTGCGGACACGCAATATTTTATATGTTATTGCACAATGCACAAAGAGTGGCATTGAAATAACATTACATTAACTTCATGAATTACTAATTTATAATTACGAAACTTCAAGCTACACGTAATTGAATGAAAGCAGGTAGGCGATAATTGGCAGCCAATTTGGAATGCAATTGATGAAACACAACAGAGCTCAAATACTTTGGACAGCTCAGGGTTGATGATGAAAACACAATTATTGTGATAATGCAATTCAAACTAGAACGAACGATATCAACAAACAATGTTCAATGTGTATTGTAACATCTACTGGGTCGCTGATAGGCCCTTGCTAATGAATAATCAACTTTTTCTTGTTATAATAATCACATACTAATCATACCCATTATTTTGTCATGAATATCACTTTTCTGCTATAAATTACTGTCATCAATAATTATGTTCGATGAATGAAATTTGTAACTAGGTTACATTTATAATTTGCCGCACCACAGAAGCTTCCTCAAAAGTACCAATGATCTCATAAAGTGGTCGAGGCCAATTAAACCTCTTCTTCTCAAAAAATTAACAATAAATAGAAAGCTAGTCAAAACTTTCTTCCCTCCAGTCAAATAAGCTTGACGTTTTGAATAATGAATTGGAATCGAGAACAAAATTATTCATTGTGAGTTGAAAAATTGGGATATGTTGGAAAAATTGATACCTAGAGATGATCATCCATTGAACTCTCAAATTTCATATTGAATTGTATTCATTTCGAAGAATTCATTTCATCTCAGAAAGAAAAATAAATCTCAAAATCAGCTCCACGACATTTGAAAGTTGATCATAATTATGTTACATGTGAGAGGAACATGGTAAGAGCTTTATAATAAACCAATCATCAGCCAAGGTTCTATAATGTCCTAAAACAGTGTAAACTAGTAACAGGAATAATAGATAATTCCACTTACATGATGATGAAAAAACTGTTCTTGAAAGTTCGTGGAGATGATTTCGAGGTTCATTCTTCCTTCGAATACTATAACACTCCACTTCGAGCAGTATGGACTTCTTCTCACGTTTAATTCCATCTCAGGCAAAAATTCACACTCTGATTAACATAAAAAGAGGTACAGATAGGTGCATGAAATGATATACAGATTGCTATGCTATTCCATATAAATGACACATTTTGCTCCAACCATCATTGACCAACTTTTTTTTCGCAAATATGTCATGTGAAATCCATACTATCTCACTAATTCTATGATTCACACTAGTACTTACCTTTACTAGCTCCGTCGGGTCCTCTCAAAATTGTACACTCCTCTATTGTTCCGAAAGGTGCAAATAATTGTCTGACATCTTCTTCTGTTTGTTGCTTACTGAGCATGCCCACGAACAGCTTTCTATCTGCGTTGATACAAGAAAAAACAAACATTTCATTAGTCTGACAAGGCATATCATCGGAATGTAATCGAAGAACACAGTACAATATCTAGAATAGTGCAAGTCCATCGAAACCGCTAAATATCGACACTGAGGAGCTAGCGAGAAGGTACAAAAATTTTGGATACGAATTGAAGGAAAATTACTTTCCCTCAAATCGAGAATTTGCTCAGAGTATCCAGAATTCTCGCACAGCCAATGACATAACAGGACTAATTGGGAATTATGTGGATGTATTTTGAGGTTACGAAGGATTAGGGACAGAAGTCGATCTCTGTGATTACACCACATATTGATCATCAGACGACACAATAAATTCCTATAATAACAGCGTAGACGTCTATATGGTCAGCATGAAAGAACAAGAGGTGTCTAGGTGCTTCAACGTTCACATTATATGTGATCGATGATGTTGTATGAAGCTGATGATATTTTTGTGTGCGACAGAGTCGACGCTAGAGCATTTATTAGCTATAAAAGTTAAAATTGAGACACCCCCTGGCATATTGACTATTAAGACAATCTGGCACACAGTCGGTTATTATTACGGAAAATTGCACGTTTTATGGGAACGGATGTTTCAGTTATGTCTTTTTCTGCTTTACTCAGTGAATTAACTAGAAATTTCATCACTGGGAGTTAACTCAAAGTACTGAGCGTGAAGATGAAACGCTTGCCTTCAAGAATATAGAAGATCCGGTGATTTTGATGACATTATTGAAATAACTTCAAAATGTGTGACTCACATAATCATGGAATTTATGTTCAATGGGCATTGAAAATTGTTAGAGAGCATATTGATTTACAATCAATGGAAGAGACCACTGATTTCTTAAAACGACATCATCATGAGCTCTATACCAGAAAACTACCTGTGAATATAATTTTGATTTTCTTCATTGGTAAGAGTATGACGTATCAATCCCAACATCCCTATTGTCCTTGAGCTGGCCAATCACACTGCAACACTGCAGTATGACAATGTATCAGAGAGAGATTGTAGCTATCTTGGTAGTCCCACGGAAGATAATTAAAAGGAAAATTTTGTGCAGGAATAGTTTAACAGAGGGTCCTGTATCTTCTTATTGAAGTTATGGAATTTCCGAGAGAAAATACATAGTTTTATAATTCATTTTTCTCTCAAAAATTTCATAACTTCGATGAAAGGGTACTAGACGCTCTGTTAAACAATTCCTTCACATAATTTTCGTTTTCATGATCCTAAAATCTTTCATTTTTTCAAGCACATTTTTTTATCTATGTTAGTAACATATAATCTCACTCTGAACAAGCTTTTATATGATAGGCCCGAAACATGTCTAACCCCCAGTTGTAACACTTTGTCATTAAAAATCGTGGAGTGAATTAAGTGTGTGTAAGAATAAGTTATCTCAATATGAACACTGCTAGTCCCTATATCACTTTCAACGTACGGAGAATTTTATGTGTTAAACATTTGAGGAGACAAACAAAAGACATTCGTTCTAAGTGATGAATTTTAACGACTTTCTGGGATGCATGATGGAACATTACACCCGACGGAACGAACAGCTAAAAACGAATTGACCTACATTCTATACAAGAACAAAAATGTTTGATAAATACGCCTGTACCCATCCAATCTAGAATATTTGAGTGAACTGAGAAAAGAATTCTCGCAGGAATTATTTTCTGAACCAAATTTGTGATGAAGATGATGTTTTCCCCGATAATATCTGATGGTTACTGATATGAGTTTTCGAAAATCCGTTCTGATGTGCTTGAAAGCCTAGAATGTCATTGTTCTTTAACATGATGATAATGCCACCCTGATGATAGATGTGATGTTGTTGCTACTGCTGTTGATGATGATGATAATGATGATAGATGTTTTACAAGCTCAAAACATGTTGACATGAAGTCAGATCTAGAGCTATTCCTCCCATATGATGAGGATGAGGATTTATAAAAAAAAAGTGTTGTGCATAGCCACTGATAGAATCTCTTAACTGTCACTTTTCTTCTCGACTTGTGAGTACAAGAATGGTGAACTCGAGGTACCTCAGCTGGAGACTTGGAGACAATCTTGGATGTTATCCTGCTCACTCTTATGATGTCAACTTTCCTATCAGAACATGGATCGTTTCGGGAACATCATTGGTGGCATCACTCAGATGGGAAAGTTTTGTGGACATCTAATGTGTCTAAAGATGGGGCAACGAGGCTCTATCAACCTAATCCAAGTTGTGGGAAATCGTGACGGAGGATGAATGGCACCGAGGTTATAATATAATGTTGATAACGGGACCTGTGCAAGGGATACCACAGAGCTGGACGATGCTCTAAGCTCTTCCCCCACTACTTGTGGAAGAAGGGACACTATTGGCTGTCTTCATGAACGAGATCAAGGCTCGGAAGACTCGGAAGAGTTGTCTTTAAGACCCTGAATGAAAAGGGTCTTTCAGACGAGCCTCTGGTACTGATGTGAGCAGGAGTGCATGCTTACAGTTACTGTGATGGTACTTGAAGTGGTCCTCCATATGTATAAGAACCATGAGAAGGAATATGGTGAAATCAATAACGGCATTGTTGAGGTGAGATACAATGGGCTAATAGGATCGGATACTTCAGTCAGACGAGCCGTGGAAGGAGGTGGAGGAGGGAATTGGTCCTTCGTGGTCTCCATATTTCAACCACCTCCAAGAAAAAAAACTATCACTTTCGTGAATTTTTGCAATGTATACTATACCCACCTCCGACGATCCACATAATGGACGACGGCAATTTTATAGATGTTCTGGAAGTTGACTACGTGGAGGGTTTGGGAATGATAAGATCTGCCTTGAAGGGCCCTTTTTGCTGATTTATTAAGATTGTGTAGAGCTGTTGCGGAAGGAGTATACAGATCAATCCTAGATAAGCGGGAAGTGTCCCTAGATGATAGTTAAGATTCGTTTTTGTCGGGAAACGCTTTTATTTTTACGCCTGTTCTTGTTTTGGAGCCACGAAACGGCCCATGTGGAATAAAAGCGTAAACATTTTTATTGCTTGAAGATGCCTCTTCAGTTTCAATCATCGGCAAGTAGATAATGAATCGTTGGTGAGATCAAATGTATACATTCATTTCATTTCAACTAAACTAAACATATTCTCCTGGATGATTATGGAATTCTAATGCTAATATATTTTGTTTCCATGAAATGTTAACTTCCATATGGATATAAATTGAAAATAAGTGACTGACCACGTCATTTTCCAAACTCTTTTTCGAGGTCGATGATACCTAAAACTAATGCACTACAAACGATCGATACACAAAGACTACAAAGAGTAACAAAAGTACAACATGTTCACCCGATTGTTCACCCCAAACAAAATAGAGTCAATATAGATTAAAAGGTATTAAGTCCTTAGGGCATGGCAGTTGTTTTCGATTGAATTCGATCTACTTCCCTTACGGCATCAAATATTAATCAGCCGTTTCCACTATTTTTTCCTTCTTTTTATCATCCCTTCTGTTGGAGGGCATATCGCGGAGTGATATCGATTCGATGTTTTATTTTTTGAATGTCTGTCTGATGATACGTTTTCTTTGTGTCTCGTACATATATACAAAGGTAATAGCGGGAATGGGGAAGAGTGGGGTAAATGACAGTGCTTGGTAGTGGCGTTGTAACATTCGCGGCAGTACATTGACGGAAGGTACTTACCAACAAAGGTGCAGAAATTTCTTCGATCCGTATTTTTGTATTCTTATACAGAATCGACCAATGGAAGATCTAATTAGGTGAAATTTCACAAATAAATTTGAAAGCTCTGAGATGCTGATGGTATAATTAGAATATTGATTTTGTTCTGAATTTATGGATTTGAATGAAAAAACATTTGCGCACCGTTTTTCTGAAAAATTATTTTATTCTTGTATCCAGTCTCTTTCCGGCTACCAATATTGTTCACACATTTTTTTCAATTCAGTCATCTCTAGATCAATATTATTAGCATTCTGTACCTGCATCAAAATGTTCATTGTTATTTTCTCAAATCATCTTTGAATGGCTTGAAATTTTCGGATACGTGCGATGAATTTTTTTGATTCAAACTGCTGTTGTCCCGATTTGGCATTGACAACTCCCTAACAATTTTTTTTCGAACGATCACCTGGAATAGGAAGCAATCATTGATCGATTCTGTTCATCACAGAAAAATGAATCGCGTGAAAGTTGTTGAGACTGGAGAAAGTTTTGCACTATACATTCAATATGTAACATAACAGGAGCACGTTATCCACTATTTCACACCACCTCATCTCATTTCCTTCCCGTCCTCCACTTCTCATTCCACTCTCTCATGGTCTCCAACTGAACTGAACTATCCTCTTTCGATAATATTTCAGGTCAATGGCAATCTGGGGTTGACAATTCACTGACAAACTACACTTTCTCAAAAAATTAACGCATCACCAAAATCTATCCAAAACTTCTTGTTCGATCTGGACCCTTTTATGAGACGAAAGGTAACTATGGAATGTTTACATAATCCGGTGTGGACCTGAGTTAAAATCAACCCCAAAATTTTTACCGTGTAGCGTGATTTTTTCATGACATTTGTAATACCCTGTAGAGTGTAACAGTGAAATTATCGAGTTTAAATTGTAATTACCCTTCAGCCTTATCTATTTGCATTATTTCTAGAATATTCAATTCACCACCACGATGCCTGGAAAACATAAGAAACCTTAAAACATTTTCTGTCAAATGCAAACTTTTCATGCACCAAAATCTAAAGTCATTTGTCGAGTTACTTTGAAAATTTTCGAACGATTAGTATATATAGGTTTCTACATCTACCAACATTTTTACATTACTTTAGTTCTCCAGCCCTTCACACCTAGGTGCTAATACTTGATATAATGTCTAATTTCATTTTTTTAATCATGATATTTACTGCAAACAGTTGCTGTAAAATGCCTATTGTTATTGTGATAA